ATCCACAAAGCAGACCTGTGCTTGCCAGGGCTGGGGAGAGGGGAGAACTTGCAGTAACTGCGGAATGAGTTTGGAATTTCCTTTTAGTGTGATGAGCACGTCTCGGGAGAAGATAGAGGGGATAGCTGTACAACGTAGTGAACATACGAAACGGCAATGAGTTGTACACTTTCAGATGGTTAATGATGAATTTTATGTTAACCTTATAAAATTTTACCTCAGTTTTGAAAAAAAATTGGTTGGAACTACTCTGGGAGAAATGGAATTCCAATTGTTTCTTCTTTTCTGGCTTCACTTACCCCAAATGACAACTTCTCAGTTTGGCCAAATATAGGCCATGTGCCTTTCCTCTTGTTGTGTAAGGGCAATGAAAGAAAGTATCCGCCTCTAAGGCTTAGTGGGAGGCAGGCCCCCAGATTTCATGGACCATCAAGATTACAGAGACAATGGGGAAGATGTAATCTTTCCATAGAACTAACAATGCTATTAGGAACAGACAGTGGGTATTGGGCATACACAGGCACACTTAAAATATTCTTATTAGAGGCAAAAAATTCAGTAATAAGGCATAAAACAACTTTTGTAAGCAAAACTGGTAAGATGCCTTAAAAAAGGAAACAAGAATCCCAAAATATATTTACTATTTTTAGAGTTTCTTTTCTTAAAAATAAATGTATCTACTTTGTATGCAAAACAAACATTTTGGAATACACAAATAGTTAAAATGAAATTCTGTTCTCTTTGAGTAGTTCCTAGAAAGCATATTGTGCAGAATTCAGAGGATAAACAGAGCTGACATTCAGCCCCTTCGATATCCATTGGAATGTAATACATATTTCAAAAACAGTATGGGAAAAGAGATGTCACAATTAGCTCTCTGCTTTCCATTAATCATAGTTCCTAGGAGTCTTTGTGGAATTACGTTTTGCTTAAAACTTGGGAATTCAGATGAATTTCCTTGAGGTGTTTGACAGGTCTGAAGAAGGATTACTGAGAAAAATACCAGTAATAATGGACATGATTTTTAGGACACAAGGAACATAAAGAATTCAACTGCGGTTCAAGTCTGTTTCTGTTCCTACATCCAATCTGAGCAATGTGCAATGATGCTTATTCTCCTGGTGACTGAGAAAGCTGCACCAGACAAAGCACTTAAACGTTGTACAAATTTGAATATAATCAGACCAACGTGACTGTTTTATGTATCAAAGAAACAGCTTGGTTAGTCAAGACTTTCCTTTGTGACAGTATTTACTGCAACAGGAATTTACCTGAAACACAGATGACCTGTACTGTACTCTTTATACTATAATAATATATTAGACAAGAATTCAGCCAAATAGGGAAGGAATTAATTTAAGCTTTATAATACACAATATAGTTATCTTTTTTTCTTACTGGCACACAGGTCAGAAAATGTGCAGACTTGGCTATAGTTATAACAGAGTAGAAAGACCACTGGATATCGATTCCAAAGACCTGAGTTTGAGAGCTGAATGTGCTATCTTTGCAAATTGAGGCAGGTCGTCTGAATTCTCTGTAACTTAGTTTCCTGCCCCGGTGATGTTGTGCAGTGTCATCCAAGTGTTATTTGTCATTATGTATCTTCTGGGTTGTTTTTGTTGTTGTCATTTATTTTATGAAATCTTCTTCAAGAAACAACTCCATTTTCTCAAAATACTCTCACGATTTTAGTGCTGTTTGGGGTAAAATGAGGAAATAGAGAAGCTGGGTAGTGCCCATTCTTAGAACAATCTTATTCTGACATTGCTGTCCTTCCATTGGCAAAATCACACATTTACTTTTATTCTGGGGGAGGTTAATCCGACAACTAGTAAGTTTTGACTGTGGCTGCCGCTTTCTGTTAACTTCATCGCTTACTCCCTCCTCACTGAATGCTTCACTCACAGTAAGTTTATTGACACTGTGACACTGGTTCTTGGCTCTAGCCTAGTTATCTTTAGGGACACAATTCCTGAAATTAAGATAAAACAAGAGCCAGAAAACAAAACCAGCATGAAACCTGCAGGTAGCAGGGTACAACACTAGGGCAATGTGTATGGAGCTGGTAATATTAAGTAACAGATGGAGATGGGTGAGCATTCCCTTATCCCAGGGCATGCTGGGAAATGGGGTAGGAATTGACAGGTGAGTAGTAGAGGGAGGGGGAGAACAGTAAAGGAGACTGGAGAGACTGGGCCAAATGTGAGAATGGGAGGACAATCAGTATCAGTGTCCAAGCCCAACTGAGTATACTGAGATTTATTTTAGATTATGTCAAATAATACTTTTATCCATGTAGCTACTGGGAACTGACATTTAATTAGTGAATTACAAGCAAGAAATAGCAAGGTGACATGGAACTACTTAAGAATAAAGCCATCATTATTTCTCTTGCACTTTATACTTGCAAAAGTTTTGTATTGTCCTTTATTAAACCTTCACAATATTACTGTGAGAAAGATGGATCACAAGAACTAGCTACTCACTCTTCCTTGTGGACTAAACAAGAGGAAACTGGCTTAAATAGTAGTCAAGTAAAAATGTCTTGGCTAAAAAACCCATATCGGTCCTAAAAAATATTTCCTAGTGAATTGTCCATTTTAGAAAACAGCTATTGAATTCACTAATTTTCATTTTTCCAACACATCAGCTTTAAGCCACTGGAAGACCCAAGGCTGAACACAGACACAGAAGGCAAACTGTGTTTAACACTTGCTCGTCCTCACATTTTCTCCCCAAAGACTGTCACATTTCCTGAGATTTTCACATTACTGATTCTTTGGGATGAGTCACTGAGGGTCCCCACAATGGAAAACAGTATCTGGATTACACTCTACATTAATTTTAGCCATCTGTATTCACCCAGATATGTTTTTTTAAGAATAATTTCCAACCATCTAGAAAAATTCCAAGAGAATGGAACACAAGGACAGATGATTTTCAATGGAGTGGAGAAGTGAATCAAGAATCACTTAAGAAAGAAGTTATTGGGTGAAATTTCCTATGTGAACATGCAAATCCCTAGAGAAAACCAGCCATTTGAGATTACACAGAACCCACCCAGTAACTGAATTATTCACTCAGCAAGTGTTTATTGAGTGCATATAGTAAGGCAGTAGACACTGTCCTTGGTGCTGGAGCAAAAATCCCTGCCTTCATGGACCTTCAGTTCTAATGGGAAAGACAGACAATAAACCATGATAAATAAGGCAGATGTATAGTGTGTTAAGTACTAAGTGTGCACACACTCGAACATGCGTTCCCAGAGAGGAGCTTGTAATTTTACATAAGAGGGCTGTTTTATGGTGAAGGTTAAAGAAGCCAGGAAATGAGCCATCAGACATCTAGGGGGAAGATTCTTCAAGCAGAGGAAACAGCCAAAGGCACTGGGTAATCTCATGAGGGCAAAAGGAAAGAGGAATTCCAGGAGGAATGATGAAACACTGAAATCCCTTCCTTCCTAATTGTGTTCAATGTCACTCTCACCTTGAACTCCCTCTTCAAATGAGCACACAGATGACAGCGCTCGCTTTGTCTCACTGCTCCCTTTGCCACTCGGGCCTTCTGTTCTTTACGAAAAGTACTGCTGTTTACAAGCACTCTTCTGGAAATCTCATCTCTTCTCAGCCCACATCCTCCTCTCCCTGGAGTCATCTGTGTGGTCAGGCCATTCAAGGTGGCTGTTCTCTTGCTCCCAGTACATCCCCTGCTCGACCTGTTCCTGCTTCACCTCCACCCAACTCACATGACTGACCTTCCTACATACTTGCCCCAGGCCCCAGCCAGTGGCTGTTCTTATCAAAGAGGGAGGGACGCTGAGGGGTGTTCCTTCTGCTCATCTCCCTGGTAACCAATGAGCCCACCTGAAGTCGGTTCCCCTGATCACCGCTAACCTCCGCCTGTCCCTGGGAGCAAAGGCTGCCACCATGCCCTGCCCACCATCCACCGCACATGGCGGGCTGATGCTCCAGGACCTTGCTTCAGACTTGTAAGCTCCCGTGTCCACTAAATCACTGATGTCTCTGTTGCTGACAACGGGCTCTTTCTCCAGTGAGTACAGGCCTGTGAGCCTGCGAGGTGCAGTCCGACATCATTGTTTGACTGTTGGTTTCTCCACCCTGGAACTTGATTCCTCTGCTAACTTTTGTGACTTCACTATTCTGTCACCACCATCCTTAATGTCCAGGTTCCTTGCTTTTCTGGCACAATCGGTCACGAACTGCCAAACTTTCATCATCCCCACCACCCTTGCCTTTGATTAAGTCTTCACCCATCATCTCCATCTCCGATGGCAGTACATCTTCCTAACCTACTCCCATTGCCATGCTCTCTCAGCCGATCCTGTCACCCTCCCTGTGAATCACCACTGTGCTCTGGGCACACACAGTGGCTGCGTGTGTGTGTGGGGCGGACACTGGGACTGCTCCTTCTGCCACATGGTACTGCTCAGGCTTGGTCCACCTCATACTGAGCAACGTGAAGTTCTGGTGCAAGAATGGCTACCAGCTGCTCCAGATCACTACTCAACTTCTCAAAGTGAAGGCAGCCCCATTCCCTTCCAGGTGTTTGGAACCCTTTATTCTCAGCTTTGCCAGCATCTCCAGTGTGCTAGCTGATATCAGGAATGCTAAGTGAGGGCTGGCTCCAGAATATGACACCAATCTGCATACAAACCCCTCAAAGGAAGGTAAGTTTTCCTATTAAAATTCCCAAATAATTTTTCCTGAGGTAATGGGCTGCTTGCCTCCTTTACTGAGGGAGGCTCCCCACAGGGACTTCATGGTGACTTGTCCTGTAAGGACTTGTTGAAGAATACAAAGGTCATTCTCTGGCAGCTTTCAGTTGAGAAAATATGAGAAATGTCCCCCTCATTCCCACCACCCTCACAACATAACAATTTCACCTCTCATGGGGTGCCCAGCCTCACAATAGTAAAAAGAAAAACTGTTCTAAATTTTTAAGGAGTTGGGTAGTTGAGAAAACTAAGTTTAACTTACCTTAAAGGGAGGAATGCTGTCTCTCTTTGGCATCTCTTCACCCAGAGTTCTCAATTATTTGTTGACGTT